GCAAACTCCACACCAAAAATAGTGCCGACAATATTATAAAATAAATTTTCTTATACATGCCACACTTCATAACAAGAGGAAAGAGTATGGAAAACCATTCACTAAGCATGTAGAAAATACAAGGACCATTGAAATCATACAACCATATTGTAGTAATTCAAAGCAAATACAAATAGAGTACAAGACATATCTTTATAGAAGATTCACGCCTTCCTTGAACAACAAATAGTAATCCCTTAGACTCCTCTCCAATCTCTAAAATATAAATACAAGAAATGAAGAAATCTCTTAATTCCTCCCTTTCTCTCTTCTTCCTAAGTTCCAAGAGTCACTAAGAACTCCAAAAGATGCTTCCCAAATAAAGAGACACCAATCCCCCCTTAAGATAACCCTCGAAATCCTTAAGAGTCACTTCATATGCTCCTCAAAATTTGTCCAAATACATTGCATTTAAAAAAATCCGATTCTAGCGCCTAGGCGCCTAACCGTGGAGCTTAGGCGCCCAACCGTGGCGCTTAGGCGCCAGTCTTCTAGAAGTGCAGGATAACTGCCCGACGCATAGGTGCTATTCCTGACGTCATGGCACTTCTCTGTTTCCACGTATAGGGTCTAGCGCTTAGGCGCCAATTCACTTTGTGTTCTTTTGCTCCATTTGACCCTGTTTTGCTCCATTTGACCCTGTTTTGCTCCGTTGCCCCTTTTTCTCCAATTGCTTAACATATTGTACTTATAATCAAAAACACAAAAAACACGTTTCTTTAAAGCGCAATATGACTAAAAATAAACATTTAAAAGGATATAGAAAATAGAACATTTTCAGGAATATCAAGTAACTAACCTCAAAATTGTAAATATTGAAGGCTAAAACTTTAATAAAGAGTTTTCTTAAGAGTTTAAAACTAAGGAGATGTAATTAAATATAAGGGTTTGCCTCCCAAAATAAAATAAATCCCTTGCCTTATACCTGCAAGCTAAGGGAAAAATCTCTAGTTAATGTGGACCCATAAATCTTAAGGATTTTCATCATTCAAATGATTATATTCATTTGAAGATAATATTTTTGTCTCTCAATGTAGTATATTATTTTTTAAATGACATATTTGATTGTTTAAATAAAAATCATTCACGTCATGCTTTTTATGAGTAAAAATCAAGTGCCTCTTTTAAATAAAATCATTCAATTTGAAAAGGGGTATTTGTAAAGGACCATTATAGTTTTTTATTTCCATTATAGTGAATCAAATGGAAGACTAATAAAAAAACCACAATGCTTGTGTCAATATACGGGTCACCACCATTTAGTAGAAAAAACCAACCCAATTTTACTATATTTTTTGTGTGCTAATAAGATATATGAATTAAATATGTATCATACAATTAGTATGAATAATTTGTTTAGCCATATTGTGGTTGAGAAGTGGTTGAGTCTATTTATGCTAGTGAACTTCTCAAGATGTTATAAGGATTTTTTTTTTTATTTATTTGATTGGATAGATATGATTCTTTTATTTGAGATTAGATTGGTTTCTAAATTCGAGTTTTTTTCTCATTTATTTATATAATATATAAGTCCTTAATAATAGATCAATTTTTTCTCAATTTTCTTGACCTGATAAATAATATAATAATGACGGCCAACAATTGAAATTATGAGAAGTTTATTATGATTGCATTTGCTTCCTCTCTTCATTAACAAAACGGTTAAAACCCAAATTTTTTTGAGATTACTAATTCTTTGATCCTCGTCTTATTGGTAATTTTTTGGTCCTATAAATTCCTTTGATCTATATTAATCGTTTTCTATTTAAGAAAATATTTATTTTCAAGGTAAAAATGCGCTTCACTTCAAACTATTAGTCAAAAGGAAGACAAATCATTAAATAACACGAATTATCTCAAAAGATAAGTCATCCACAGCCTCTTATGTCACAATTTCTTAAAACGAGTATTTATGAACAAACTACTTGCAGGAGGGGGCATCTCCGGAGTAGTGCCAATCGTTTGCTTGTTACATAATGTTAACTAAATAGATAAACAAATTAGATTAATGTAGCAATGATTATCTTAAATTTTCAATGTGAAGTGTTAAATGTAAAAAATTAAGTTATTTGTTAAATACTGCATGCAAGACCAAGTTTAATTTTCTTAGAATTTTTTGTCAACAAATATCTGGCTCACATTTCAGATCTGTCCATCAATCATCAACCTTTTTCAAATTAAATCTTTTAATACCATCAGTGGTCATGTACCAAGAACTCATTACATCATATGGTGCCGCTGTAATTGTCACATATTTTTTAGTCTAAATTATGATATAAACATATATGAAAATCATAAATCTCATAAACCAGTCATGATGATCTTAATCAACATCTCAAATGCTATTTTTTTTATGGCGCATGAACCAAATGAATATATCAAAGTTTGGTCTGATACACCATTGATTATGCTCATTTTTGGATTAGAAATCAAAAATATTAATGAATATTCTTAAATTTTAGTAAGTGGGTGTATCTTGAAATAGTGACAGTGCATGGGAGATGAAATCTAAGTCTATTAATTAGTTGAGTCAATTTGATGGGGGGGTTTTGTACTTGTGTTTGACATTGTATGCTGGAGATAGATGTCCCAACGAGCCTATGAGAGACTTGGGGTAAAGTGGGGTTGTGCGTTTAATTTAATGTCCGTTGGTAATTTTTGTTCAGTTGTTTACAAAAGTCATATCTGACTCATTAATTAATGAGTCAAATATAAATTTTTTAACTTGATCTTATAGATATAAAATATTTAGACTTGCTCCTTTAAAAAACATAATATAAATGGATTTTTGTTCATTTTTGCCCTCTGTAATGGGATTCGATTATCCCAGTGGAGGGTACAGTACTTGAATTGTTAGACGCATAGAAGATTTTAGAGGCTCGTATAAGACTTAGGCAATTATTTTTAATATATATATATATTAAATAAATACTCTGTTTTCCATTAAAGTTTAAGGAGTGCCGTCGCGATCATGAGGCCAAAATTCATTCTATTTTCCATCTCTGGCTCACGCTCACGCCCTCGACTTGTCATCGAATCCAAAGCGGAAAGCCTCCGGGAAAGTGCCCGAACCCAGCAACTCGCTGACGCAAGCCGCCCCTCATTCCACAAGTCCAAGCCCCTCTTTTCGCCACATCCCCCATAATAAAATTTCGCCTTCCAAATTCGCTAAAGAAACAGCTAGTAGGCCCACTGCTGCCTCCCGTTCCCCAGCTGGCAATTCCGTGTTCCCTTCCCAATTTAAACCCTCCAAATCTCCCTCCCCTTTTCCCAAACAACCAAACCTCGCCTCTCCTCCTCTGCCTCAAATCTCATCACTCCTTACCTCACTCCCCTCTTTTCCACTATGAACACAACACTTGACGACCTTCTCTTCGACGAAGAGGAATACGCCACCGTGTCTTCCGCCCCTCCCAAGCGCCGCGCCGGCCGAACCAAGTTCCGTGAGACACGCCATCCTGTCTACAAAGGCGTCCGTCTCCGTGGCTCTGATAGATGGGTTTGCGAAGTCCGTGAGCCCAACAAGAAATCCCGTATCTGGCTCGGCACCTTTCCCACCGCCGTCATGGCCGCACGCGCCCCCGATGTCGC